TGTGTGTGTGTGTGTGTGTGTGTGTGTGTGTGTGTGTGTGTAGTGTGTGTGAGTGTGAGTGAGGAGGAGAGAGAGAGAGAGAGAGAGAGAGAGAGAGAGAGAGAGAGAGAGAGAGAGAGATCACAATCTACGAATTCAGGAGACATTGTGTAACAGTTAGCTAGGGAAGTGTGTTGTAGTTCCTTCTAGGTGTTTATCTGTATGTAAATGAAGATAACTTTCCGAGATTTTCTGTTAAGTAGACAGTGTATTGAGTGGCCAAAAGAATTTCTAGAAATTCTATATATCCAGAATACTTGTTCTATTATAAAATTGAAATATACAAGCTAAGAAACGGTCAAGGAGATGGCAACATGTTGGAAACAGGAAAAATCTCCTAACCATCAAAAAATATACATGCGATGCAAACCACTATCAGTGAGCACCTCTCCCAATATATTTGCATCCCTCGAGTCATGTTGAAAGAAGAATAAGCTTGAGTTGCATTGATCAAAACTTTCTTTCGCCGAACCTATTGTAACCCTTGGGAATAAATGTGGTTTGGTTTGCCCTTTTGGCTTGGTTGGTATGGCATCAGGGCTGCATAAGTATACCTAGGTTTGGATCCCAATAGACATACTAAAATGATAGAAAAGTCGGGATTCGTCTTGCCCACATCAGCGAGGTCTTTAAGTAAGATATTCTTCATAATTGCTTTCTGTGGTTGACAACTTCTTTATTTACGAAGCTCTCCTATTTGAAATGATTGGCTTCATGTTATAATGCATTTGTGATTCCCAACTGTGAAAACTATTCATGGCTTTATAATGGATTGAATTCTAAAGTGGTTTAGACTTTACAGAGAGTTCTATGAGAATGTTACTGAGGAGTTCAAACTTGACTCTCATAGAAATATAACTAGAAATCGATCACATGAGGGATGTTTGTAATTGACTTGAAGATGATAATGATACAATTATTATTATTTTTTGACTGCCAATTAATATCCAATTAATCTAGAGGGATTGCTTGGAATTTTTGCCTTTTCACTGGTTATGCTGTACATGTGTTGGTGGGGCTACTCAAATGTAGAGTTAATTAGTTTTCTTATGGTTTCAATGTTCAAATTTCCTTCCAAAAAAGCTGTAAGGGGTTTTTTAATGTGCAGTGGTTGGGGTGTATCTTGCTGAGAAGATCAATATTATTCTAGCAAAAAACTGGGAGATGTTTGCTGGCCAGAATTACTTTGACCCATATGGTCTTTTTCTTTCTGTTCTCTGGTCTGGCCCTCTTCTCTTTATCTCAATCATCATCCTGGTAAGAGAAATCAGGCCCCACTTTTACATTTCATGTATTTTCTTCTAAATTCTGACTCATTTGAGAAATCCAAATGTTCAGTATTTCCTTAAATCCAACTAAAATCGATTCTTGCTGTGGTTCAATCCAAAAGCAAATTCAGCAGTCTATCGGAGCTCTCATCTTTTTCTCTCTTTTTTTTGACAAGGTTATATAGGAATGGAGCTCTCATCTTTTTTTTTTGGACAAGGTTACATAGGAATGGATCTTGAGACGCTGGGCTATGGAAACCTAGCCTCTACCGTCTTAACCCAAGCTCGTTTCCTTTCCTCAAACTGAGTTCTGGTTGATATTTTGTCATAAATATGAACGATGATTCTTTCCCAGTAGGGCGTAAGCTATTTAAAAGTTGAAAATATTTTTGGGATACTGCAGTTTATTTATTTTGGAATAAGATTTTATAGTTAAAAGGAAAACAATATTTGCTCACAGATTTCTATTATATCAACCTTTTGCAGATTAATACACTTGTTTCTTTGTGTCAACTCATTGTGAGATGGAAAAGAGCTGAACTCAGGCACCGGGCTCGGCTTGCTCGTGGCAAGCAAGATTGATGGCTTCTTCAGCATCACTCCTCTTTACCTGCCTGCAATGGATTACAGAGCTTTCGTTTCTTCTTTTGTGTGTTTACTTTCTTCGTTTTGATAATTTCTGTTTTTTGTGCTCTAAAAACCATAGGTTTTAGCATTCGGGGCATGCCATTCAATTTTGAGAGGTTAACCGGTTCGTGTATTGTAGGAATCTATACACTGAAAACAAAGATTTTTCTGGTTTTGGTGAGTTGTGCTTCAGAAAGACGGGAAATTTACATTCTCCCCTCCATCCGTAGGTTTCTCCACGCTGCGCTCCCCAAACTAAAGATTCTCAAACTCATTTTACCTGGTACTGGTTTTATTTTTATAGAAACCAGCCCCCTGAACCCCGCAACCAAGTTTCCTAAGCCCAAGGGCCTAAAAATACCTTTCCTTAGTTAAGAGCAAAAAAAAAAAAAATTACTCTCTTCGATGTCTCTCCCGCTCTCTCTCCCGCTCTCTCTCTCTCTTTTAAAAAGCAGTGTTTTAAAACTAGGCAATTCTTGATTTGGGTCGCTTGTCCAGATGGAGAATCGGTCGCTCGATCCCTTGATGGTATGGACCGGGCCCGGTTCTCCCCTTAATCCCCTTCCTACTAAACACTTCCCATTTGGGGCTTTTTTTTTTTTTTTAAGTAAGTATTTCTAATATTTTATTAAGTCCCTTGAATCCTTATCCTATATGGTTCTATTTTAATGTATATTTTATTTTATTTATTTTTGCGAAGGATATGTAGGTGAGCGATCCGTTAACTACTTGATATATATATATATATATATATATATGGGGAATGCTTTCATGTAAGAGTTGTATAGTAATATAATGCAATCACCTTCAAAAACCATGTTAGACATTTGTTTGACACAAATTTGTAAACGTACACTCTTTTCATTTGTAAGAACAATTAAATTTTTTTTTTTTTGAAAAGATGCCTTAAAAAGCGTTTTTTCTCAATTAATATACGCTGTCCATTCTAGTGAGATGGTTAGATATAGGCTTCATAAGGATTGTTTTTTATTTTCAAAATTTTTGTATTATCATTAGATTAGCTATGCTAAAAAAAGAATTGATTTTGGATCTGTTAAGGTTTAGATTTTGAAATTCACCAAATAGACGGTCGAGATTCATTGTTGGAAGGTTCTAATGTTGAACAGAGGGTGTAAATTGAATTTTTTTATTGTAGGATTGATTTTAAGGATGAAAATAGTGTGCATGCAAAATTTGGGGTCATACAAATGTCAAAAATACGGTTTTTTAGATGTGTGGTTGTATTATATTACTATACAACCGTTGCATGAAATCATTTATATATATATATGGAAAAATCTTGGATTAGCCCACTAGCTCATATGAACATATGAGCCCAACGGTCTAGGTTGAATTTGGGTCGATCTGACGATCAAAGATGTTCGATAGTGTTTGAATTTTTTTTTTTTTCTACAAATCCAAATCATTTAAAATTTTAGTCGTGTGTTTATAAAAAATAGGCGAATCTTCGAAAAATATAAAAAAAATGTTTTACATGAAATAAAATGATAAAAAATACCCTTGAAAAATTTTGAGGGGTATTTTGGTTATTTTTGTTTTCACGAATAATTTTTTTTAATATTTTTATTAGGTGCATCTTGATGAAAAAAACACGCACTTAAAATTTCAAGTGATTTGGATTTGTAGAAAAAATAATAAAATTCAAACACTACCGGACACTCGTGATCGTCAAATCGGTCCAGATTCAATCTAGGCCGTTGGGCTCATATGTTCATATGAGCAGTGATGTCGTGCAACGGTTGTATCATAATATAATGCAACAATATTAAAAAACCATGTTAAGACCATTTGTTTGATTCAAATTTTAAATATGCACTCTTTTCATTCTAATGAACAATAAAAAAAAAAAGAAAATTTGAAAACGTAACTTCGGAAGTATTTTTTTAGCCTAATTAACATAGACCATCCATTTTGATAAAATGCTTAGATTTAAGTTTTAGAAGGATTTTTTCTTTTTCAAATTTTGTAGATGACTTTATTATCATTAGATAAACATTGTTAAAGAAGAAAAAAATCATTTTGAGTTTGTAAAGGCTAAGATCTTGAAATTCATCAAATGAATGGTCTAGATTCAGTATTGGAGGGGGACTCATTTTGACTATATCTATGGTTTAAATCAAACTATTTCTTTTTTTAAATTGATTATTGAGATGAAGAGAGAGTGTGTGTATACATTTTAGTGAGGCGCTCCTAATAAAACTATGAAAAAAATAATTCGTAAAATATAATAGTATAAATAACCTAAACTAATTACGGGTAGTTAGGTCGTATTATATTTACGAATTATTTTTTTTTCAAATTTTTATTAAGTGCGCCTTACTAAGATGTACATACGCACCAAATTTCATATCACTCCGATTAGTAAATGTAGGTGGGGCGTGGAGGCGAGCCGAGAAAGAGACATCGACTGTAATTACTGGGCGTATTAGATGTCAAATTAGATGGTTTGAGATATTCTATTTATTATTATTATATTAAAAAAAAAAAGACATGTCGCCCGCAAAGCAACATGTGACATCCATCCTTTTTAAAAGGGAAGCATCAAAACTAATTTAAATGCGAGAGCAGTACATTACTTCACTTGCATGTGAATAAATACGTTTGCTTAGCAACAAACTTACAAGTTTGCTTCAACAAACATTACACAGTGAATGCAGAAAAAACTTTTAACTTTTGAATTTAACATGGTAAAAGGGAATCTATTATGGTAATCTCAAATAAACCTTCAGTATTATGAGAGCCTATAGACCCCCTTCAAACTAAAAGAAGCGACCTTTGGTCCCCTCCTTGCTTTTTTTAATCCTCCAAATTATAATATTAATCTTCTTTTTTTTTGTTAAATCAGCCCTATCCAAATGAAATTTAAGATGCTATGTTTAAACTACTTACGTTTATACGAGAGAGAGAGGGTGGGATTCATGGGTGATGAATAGAGGGGGATGGGGAGTTTTCCTGGGGTTTGGATGATGGATTTTTTAGAAAAATCAAAGTGGATAAATATATTAAATGATATATATATATATTTAATTTAGAGGAGGTTCATGAGGTTTTTATAGACTTGAAGGTTTCTATACTTCCCCTACAACATAGAAGATCTATGCTTCCCCTACCATCCAGCTATCCAATTTTGATCAAGAGAGCCACTCACCGTTTGATCTTAGATCCGACATCTCAAAGTATTTTATTTTTAATTTTTCTCATACAAATTGTATGAATATGAAATTTGATACATGTCATCTTCTCATTGGGGCGCACGTATTAAAAAATATGAAAAATATTTTTTTGATAAAATATAATAACCAAAATACCCTTGAAAAATTCAGGGGTATTTTGGTCATTTTATTTTATTGGAAATATTTTTTTTTATATTTTTCGCTAGTGCGAGTTTAATAGAGGATTGGATGTCCAAAATTTGGTGTCAAAATAGTTTATAGAAAAAGTTGAAAATAAAATAGTGTAGAGACGTGACATTGTGATTGAGGCAATCTTAGCCCTCCATTCAGATTGGACGGTTGGATAAGGGAAAGTATATAAATTTTATGTTATAGGAGAAATATAGAAAGCATGCCCTTATAATTATAGGAGGGAAAAAGTATATATAAGGATTCTACCTTATAATGTAGAACTACGGATGTTCCTAAGAAATCCATCGAAAAAGGTAGTTTTAATGTTAAAAAACCCTTTAATTGATCATCTCGACATCGAGATGTATAACTATGAAAAATAAAAAAATTTCAGTATCAGAAATAGTGTATTTTACAACATATTATCTACACCGTCCATTTTCATATGTTGATAGATTTATTTGATTTTAACCTTTTTTGAAATTTAAAATCTTATAATTAGATATAAAAATAGGTTTTGAGATAATCCTTGCTCATACACGTGCATCCATCACGCACATTTCACATACTTATTCTTTTCTTTTCCCTTCAAGAGTCTGAATGAAACAAATTACAAAAGGAAGTGGTCTGTATAGAACCTAGGCTCTAAACAATCAAATTAGAGTCTACTTTCAAATAGTATTGAGAAATGTGGTTTCAATATTGAAACTCTTTGTGATAGCCTTAAAATATATTTTTATTTTTAGTTATAAAGTGTAAAGCTTCAAAAATAGTATAGATGGACATATCTATGAAAACTTGAGAATCTTGAAAATTGATGGTCTAAAAATGCATCATAAATACACTATTTCTCAAACTTGAAATCCATTTTTTTCTCATGCCCATGTATCTTGATATCAAGATGATCAATTTGAGGATATTTGAGCATCAAAACAACATCTTCTAGTGAAAGTTTTGAGGTAGGCTCTTATTTGATTGTTTAGAGCCTCGGCTTTTCCCAACAAAATATTGCAGCGTGATTAACTGAAGTAATGTGGTAGAGCTGTAGAACAATTGCTAATATCCTAGCGTATAGCATCCAATTAGCCCCCTATGTTTAAGAACACTATGCAAAGTTTAATGTGATACTGAAACCTAGCACACTCTGTATTGCAATAATTATGTTAATTGCGAAGATTGATTAAGGCCGGTGTCCAGAGAGAGAAAGTGTAGGTGGATTGCATGAGATCTGCATAAGAAGTGAGAAGGTGGGAGACCTGTGAATACTTCGGGTGGTGAGAGAGAGAGATAGAGGTGGTTGTAGAGAGAAAATGTAGGTGGGGCATGGAGGTGAGGCGAGGAAGAGACGCTGTCCGTAATTATTGGACGTATTAGATGTCAAATTAGATGGTTTGGGATGTTCTATTTATTATTATTATATTAAAAAATAAAGACACGTCCCCCGCAAAGCAACATGTGACATCCATCCTTTTTAAAAGGGAAGCTTCAAAACTAATTTAAATGCGAAAGCAGTACATTACTTCCCTAGCATGTGAATAAATACGTTTGCTTAGCAACAAACTTACAAGTTTGCTTCAACAACCATTACACAGTGAATGCAGAAAAAACTAGGAATCTATAATTGTAATCTCAAATAAACCTGCAGGTCTATGAGAGCCTATCGACTCCCTTCAAATTAAAATAAGCGACGTTTGGTACCCTCCTTGCTTTTTTTAATCCTCCAAATTATAATATTACTCTTCTTCTTCTTTTTTAAATCAGCCCTATCCAAATGAAATTTAAGATGCTATGTTTAAACTACTTATGTTTATATGAG